ATATCAATAATAATAGTACCACTACTACTACTTCTACTACTCCTGCTACTACTACTGCTACTACTACTACTACTACTACTACTACTACTCCTACTACTACGACTACTACGACTACTACTACTACTACTATTATTACTACTTCTACTACTACTTTACTACTTCTACTGCTACTACTACTACTACTACTACTAATACTACTACTACTATTACTTCTACTACTACTTCTACATTATTATACTTCCCTTCACAATGAAAGCAATGAAAAATTCTCAGAATTTTGTTTTGCTTGTCAGAGACTTTAATCTTGATCATTTCTCTTTTGAAAACTGTGAGAACCCTTTTATGTGCCATGTAGGCCACAGATCAATTGACTTCAGAGATCAAGGTTATAAACCATATAGTGAGAAACTTAAATTTACGTGCTGCAAAGTATAACCACATAATTTTCTTGGGGCCATCTTGCAATTGGCACTCAGTCTTTTTAGGATTAAACATGTACGTGAAGGAAGGGGCTCGTTTATCAAGGCCCCCAAACTCTGGTCTATACTGTTTCCCTCAAGAAGTCAAGAACACTGTTTGTAGTATTTGCTAAAGCAATTATGACTGCACCATGGTGACTATAGGTATAGACCAGTTTTGGAAACTCCCCCCCCCCTCTCAAAAATGAAATGGAAGCTCATATTACCAATCATGTGAAAGAATATGTTTTGACTAATACGTGATGATACAAATTTTGCCGGGAAACCGCCTACGAATTAATATATTTGGTAAATTATTACATCTATCCGGACTGGATAGATATCGCATAGTCCCATATACATCTTTCTGTGTGCATAGTGCTTGTAACTTTACCAAGACTGTGCCAAATTTCTTATCATTTTGATGATTCCAGAACCTTGCAGTACGCACCAATTCATATACTACATGATCAACCCTTTCTGATCGATTCCACAACGTTTCTTTCACAATGCAATCACATGACCAGAACTCAACTTTATCTTTAACTTGTTATATTCTTTTTCTCCCATATTCAAGATGCTGATGGAAGGAGGACGGATGTTGAAAAGGAGTTCAACCTGTTCTTCTCCGTGACGGATGAGAATAAGAGTTGGTATCTACAACAGAACATTGATCATTACTGTTTGACACCAACGGCGGTGGATGTCAGTGACGGGGACTTTCAAGAGAGCAACCTCATGCATGGTAAGGAGATGGTATCCAGGTTTTTTTTCTCACAAAGACTAAGATTGACTTTAAGTTGGACTTAACTATGCCGGGCCATTCATGCCACCGTTTGCTCTCACCATTTACTGTCCCTTACATGCAAACCACCCAGTGGTTTAAGCACTTGACTTCAAATTCAAAGGTCATGGTTCGATCCCCGACACGGCACTAATGTCCTTTGACAAGGCATTAATCTACATTTGTAGAACTTGACCCAGGTGAGGTAAATGGGTACCTGGCAGGAATTAATTTCTTGACATGCTAGAGTACTGTAATGGCAGCTATGCTAAAGCCGGGGTAATAATTAATTTGTTTTCCTCGGAATAGAATTATCTAGTCTAGATTGATGGCGATATATAAAAGCCTATTCTTCTTCTTCTTCTTCTTCTTCTTCTTCTTCTTCCTCTTCCTCTTCCTCTTCCTCTTCCTCTTCCTCTTCCTCTTCCTCTTCCTCCTCTTCCTCTTCCTCTTCCTCTTCTTCTTCTTCTTCTTCTTCTTCCACTTCTTCTTCTTCTTCTTCTTCTTCTTCTTCTTCTTCTTCTTCTTCTTCTTCTTCTTCTTCTTCTTTCTTCTTCTTCTTCTTCTTCTTCTTCTTCTTCTTCTTCTCTTCTTCTTCTTCTTCTTCTTCTTCTTCTCTTCTTCTCTTCTTCTTCTTCTTCTTCTTCTTCTTCTTCTTCTTCTTCTTCTTCTTCTTCTTCTTCTTCTTCTTCTTCTTCTTCTTCTTCTTCTTCTTCTTCTTCTTCTTCTTCTTCTTCTTCTTCTTCTTCTTCTTCTCTTCTTCCTCCTCCTCCTCCTCCTCCTCCTCCTCCTCCTCCTCCTCCTCCTCCTCCTCCTCCTCCTCCCCCCTACTCCTCCTCCTCCTCCTCTTCTTCTTCTCATGCCTCAATGTTCCCTTTCCAGGAATCAACGGCTTGCTGTTCAACAACCTCGACCACCTTGAGATGGAGGTTGGAGAGCGTGTCGCATGGAATCTACTTGGTCTCGGAGACGAGGTGGATCTTCACACGGTTCACTTCCATGGACACACCTTCACCTACCAGACCGAGCATACAAACAGATTGGATGTCTCAGAACTTTTCCCAGGTTAGACATAATTAATTCACAGCCAGGGGGGGGGGGGGGGGGAGGGTGGTGTTTCACAAAAACTGACTCTTCCAAAAAAATTGTTGTATTATTATTTTAAATGGTCTAAAGAATATATGTAGTGAAAATGAATGTTTAAAGATGAAGAATATATGATTTTATGGGTGGGGGGGGGGGGGGGGGGGGGGGGGATCGGGTGTTTCCCAAAGACGAAGATCGACTTCAGTTGGACTTGAACTATGGTAGGCCATTTATGCCACTGGCTGCTCTCACCATTTCTGGCATTGGTCTGTCAAGGGACATACAAATCACGGTCACATATCTTTAGAATTTAATCCTTTTTATAGTTCAAATTTTGTCAAAATGTTGAGAAATTCACAGGAATACCTCTTGTCCACTTTTGGAACTTTTTTTTCTTAAAAAAGGAAATCATTTTGAAATTTTTTGTAAATCCATGTATACACTGCACATATATTTGGTTCATTTTTCTATTTAGAAAAAAAAAAAATATGACACTTTCTCCTTTTGAAAATGCCTACAGGAACTTTCCTCACCCTGGAGATGACCCCCGATGACCCAGGCGTGTGGCTTCTTCATTGCCATGTCAACGATCACATGACTGCTGGCATGGAGGCTTTCTATTATGTAAATGAGGCTCCAGGTAAGATATTAGAGAGAAAGAGAGAGAGAGAGAGAGAGAGATGGGAGAGAGAGAGAGAGAGAGAGAGAGAGAGAGTAAGAGAGAGAGATAGAAACAGAAAGAAAGATTGTTAGATTGAAAGAGAGAGAGAGAGAGAAACAGAAAGAGAGATCGCTAGATTTAAGAAGAGATAGAAAGAGAGAAACATAGATAGATAGATTTGTAGATTGGAAGAGACAAACAAATAGAGAAATGGAGAGATTGATAAAGAATGGAGAGATGAGGATAAAGGAAATGAGAGATAGAGAGATTCAGAAAGAGAGAAAATTTAAAATATACAATTCACACCATCGTTGTCTTTTTTGCCTGTTTGTATAGAAACTGCAGCTCCGACCACGGCATCTAGTCCAAGCATCAACCGGAAAATGCAGTCAACGTGGGACTGATTCTCATCATCGGCTTATTTTATCAACTACTCTAAAAATAACACAATAGGTCTGTTTTCATCAGCTCGAGTTTACCAAATAACCCGCGATTTCCAGACTCGGGATATTATCCCGAAGCTCAAAATCGCATTTTCACCAGACCAATACGCTCATCACAAATTAGCTCAGACGAGCGCACATTAGCTCACTACTTCCCAAATAGCGGGATATTTTTTAAACAAGACCAAGCTTTCTTGGGATATATTTTCTCGATTAAATATCCCGCTGATTGCAACTGGTTAATTTGCGATCGGGACAGTTAAAGTAGAGAGTTATTTGGCAAACTGAAGCTGATGAAAACAGGTCCAATGATTAATCCATCTTTTAAGGAAAAAAAATGTCTTGCTACATCTACTTTCTTTGTAGTTTCATAAGGCAGGAGGTATGTATATACATGTACGTATGCTATAAAGTATAAATATGTATTTATTTACTTCATTTTCAGGAATCCCCCCGATACACATACAAGTATAAATATATCTGTACCAAGAAAAGTGGTGTTGGTGGTTATTTTACCTGACTGCTAAGAAAGCATAAAAGTAGTTTACATGCTGGCTCGTTCTGCATTCATTTCAGATCTTTCATTCTCTCATGCAACTGACTTTGAAATTATTCCATCTGTAAATGAGAAATATACATTCCTAAGTTTTTTAAGTTGGTGGTGGTTTATTGCAGTAATTTTGTTATGAAAATGTTTAATGCATTTGATGCATGTTTTTTACTGAAGTTAATGCAAGTAGTGAATTGTTAAGTGTCCATCTGTATTTAATACTAAATGGAGCACACATACATGCAGCCAATTGGATGCTTAGGTTTAGCAGGGAGTTGGGATTAGCCCACAGCGCCAACAAACCACTTGTTTGTTTAGTTTTTAAAAAAGCTTCAAAAGCTTTCAAATTGATTTGCTTTTATACAGGTTTCTTGAACTTTTGCAAGTATGGTCGATTAGTTAAACAAGTTTTTAAATCAAAACGATGTATAAGTATTTTGTAATTCACATTCCCTGAATTTTTAGGCATATTGAACGTGCAAATATAAATATCAGTATTTTAAAAATACATGTACATGCATTTTAATTTTTGTAATTGTAATATTTGTAATACAATCATGATTTAGTCTAATTCGTATGAAACTATAAGATCACTTACTTTGTACGCATATGCATTCAGTTAACTTGTAGTTTGGGTAGTTCAAATATGTGCTTCATTCAAGTGTTATGTTTGTATATGATTCTGCAGTATAACTGCTCTGAATGTTTTTGTATGATTTTTATTTGTCAAGTATATGTACAATTAAATCATGAAATATATATTAACAAGAAATAAATGAATAAATAAAAAATGTATGACTTGGGATGGTCTTTTCTTTTCAGAGGACCTATAATAACAATAATAATAATAATAATAATATACTCTCCGGGGTGGACTTGCCCTTTAAGCAATTGTGGCTTCAAACAGACGATACTTTTCTATTTTTCATACAATTTCTTATACACACACCTCTCATTCCAACACAAAACAATCATTCAAATAAATACATTCTTGTTCTTGATAGCCTGTACTCCCTACCTCATCTCTTCCCTCCCAGAGCTCTTCGTTTTCTGTCACCTTCTCTCCCTCTCATTTCCTCCTTCTTTTCTACACCATGCGACTTGTCTCTCTCTCTCTCTCTCTCTCTTTCACAATAAATTATCTTGAATCTTGAATTCAGATAACTAAGCAATCATTCAAATCAAGAACAAATACCATTAAACCAAAATGATTGGATTATACAAAAATATTTAATACGTTGTTCTTTTCCGTCTTGTCTCGAGTCCTTTTTCCCTGATATCACATGCGTTAACCGAGCTACTCCAACGGTTGGAGGAGGCCGTTATCCTATGTCATTGTGTGCTGAGGGTCAAAAGGGAATTGAACTGTTCAAGTCAGAGCCATTCTTTTGGAGAGTTTGGCTAACCCGGTTTGAGTTGGGCAAAAGAACGAAACGAGAATATACGCCATGTAATTGTCACTAAATGAAACCACGTTGGCCAAACTCTGTGAATAGATGACTCCAGTTAACACCCTTTTTGCCACTGAGCATACACGTTCTAAGCACTGTTGGTAGTCAAAACACTCCACCACTTCCCTACCCTTCAACATTTGAAAATTCTTGTCTCGTTACGATTACACGGTACAATTCAATTCTTTTAATACGTTGGTCGTCCAATCACAAGAAATAATATGCTTGATGAACATACAGACAACATCCAAGCAATAAAATGGTCCACATTGTATTCCATAATAGTCACAGAGCGGTACATCTTTAACAAGTCACATCTAAAAAAAATGATTTCAATGAATTGTTCTGAAAAAAAGTATGAAAAAAGTATGAAGAAACGGTAAACATTACATGGGTCCATTTGGCGCAATGAGATTGCATTGGGATCTCTTGTTGAAGAGTTTCTGAGAATGTATTACCGAACATGATGACACAAACAAATACATGTTTCCCTGGCCCATTGATATACACTGTAATATTTACTAGATAATCAGACTAAAAAATCTGAATGAAGCCCATTTCACACAGGCTTTTTCCAGTCGATGCAAACAGGTTATGTCTTAATGCATATATTTTCCCTTGGAATTTATTTAACATGAAATTTTAAAAGAAAGGAAAAAAAAAGAACATTTTCATTGTCACAACTCTATCATAATCTACAAGTTTAAGTCGCTTTGTCACATAATTGATAGAGAATGCCCATTAGTAATTAAGTATTAATAAAATAATAATCATTACAAAATAAAATTCCGGTAATTGTAAGATCGAGTTGTACTTTGATTCAATAAATTCTTACATTTTTTGACAGAAGAATACAGAAATAATGACTGACAAGAGATAATAACACTGCATAATATATATTTTATATACAGAATTCATCAATAGCATGGTTACTCTGAAATACTGTACAGGAATAGAAGATGTTTAAAAGAGAAAACTTGATCATGAACAAATTGAGGCATTTTTTTCTACTCAAAAGAACAAACGAGTAAGACAAACATTCTGAAAAAAGTTCGCTCATTCAATGATACTGACTTGCTAGAAATCACATTTGCCATAATCTATATGAACATTTGTAGCGTATAGTTCAATTTGCATTTTACAAAAATGAGATATATGTACAAATTTGTTTCAATGATATTTGAATACTATCATTGCTGTACATTCAAAGACACTAGCATGTACATTTTTGTTTATATACCATCATCAAAATAGGTACATGAATGAATGATAAAAATAAAGCTTGAGGCATCATTACCTGGTTTTCATGCAATCAAGAGAATGCAATCAAGAGATTGATTGCATCAAGTTGCGAATGCAAGCTACAATGTACAATCATGATTAGCCAATCAAGCAAGATCCACCTTATTATTTACATCACACTCCTGATTGGCTCATATATGAAAAGTCATTCTTGATTGCAACTTTGCATTCAAAGAGAGCTTTAATGCAACATTTCCTACCGAAAATGTCACTGTTGATGGCAAGTCATCTGGAAATACCATCATTATAGAGAATGCTAGATTTTGAGTGGCTGATGCTTTGCAGATTATCGATAGCAAATTATGCAATGCATTCTAAAAGAAATATTTCAACAGTCCTGTCGCAATGGTCCAGGTGCATGGTCCTTAAAGTGAGTTTTCATGCATCTGTAAAAACACAAATTGCTATGTTTCTATCTACCGGTATACCTTACCAATGCTTACTGAAGTAAACGGTGGTGGAGGTATACAGGACATTACAAAGCAATGGCAATGTTTGAATGACTGGTCACACCGAATGTTGAAGTAAATCTGCGTATTTGGCCATATTTCTTTTTTTAAAGTAGCTTTGAAATACTATCATTAAAGTTCAGTACGAATTAAAGCAGAGAATGTCATAGAATTTATCTTTGCATGTTCAACTCAATTCCTTTTTTTTTTAAATGTAACTCAAATACAAACAAATTCCATCCCATGAAAAAAGAATGAGATCAAATCATTGAGGATTTAATAATGATAAATTATATAAAATTAACTGTCATGTTATCATTTTTTACATCGTGTGCAGCACCCGGTTATTGCAAACATCAGATTAAAATGATCTAAAGATCGTAAGAAAAAATATTTTGTATGAAGTTTTATGAGCTCTCATCAATACAGTAAAAATGGCTTTTGCTTTTTCAAATTTTAGAACCATTCCATCTGTAGACATGGCTTAAAATAAACATGAATGAGCTTATCAAAGAAACATACACAAAAATAAGAAGAGGGATGAAAATTAAAACTACATGTTTATGAAATTGGAAAAGAAAAGGAAATACGTACATGTATGCCTACAATGGAAATACAAGACTTTAATGTTAGAAGTAAAAGAAAAAAAATGAACATGAAAATGATTTGTTCCATCAAAATATACCGACAAGCTATCAGTGTTTAGAGACATCTATATTGCAAAAAAACAAACTAAGATAATTGGTATTCTATGGTAAAAGCTGGTTATTTTGTCAACTAAAATATAAAAGAAGTTATTTACTGTTTCAAAATCAAAAACATATTGCTCTGAATTACTGCAAACATGTAAAAGAGGCAGTAAATGATCAAACTCCTGAAGAAAATAAAGAAAGCAAACTCATCAAAATGTCTGAGACTTTGAAAGCAAATCTCTTGTCAATTAAGGAGGCGATGAAGCACTAAACGCTTGTCAAATTGGCAGTAGAACGTTACGACAATTCTTGATCTATTCTTCATCTTGATACATGTATGCAACATACATTACCAGTAATAAAGGTGGGATCGAAATGAACAACAGCAAAAAAAGATGCAAAGTTTTGTTCTTAAGCTGTATCTGTAAAATTAAGCAGCTTAAAATTTAATTTCTTTTTTTCTTCAAATCATAAGAACAAAATCAGAGCGGGTGGTTAGAAATCATTACACTTGTACATTCTGAAATATTTCATAAGTAATGCATTTAAAAAATATCAAAACATGTGAAGAAACATCAACTTAATATATAATTCAAATTCCCTGCATAATTAATGAGATTTTGTAGTTCACCTTCATTACGTATATAGCAAAATCAATTATGGCAACTAAAAATTAATTTATGCATAGAACCTTTAATAGCTTGTACAAATTATGAGCCTGGACGAAAATGTCTTCATGCAGAGCGTGATGGGAATGCATAAAGTCCGCAGATTACTTGATTTTGCTTTCATAGGATATTTCAAGAAAAAATTACATGACTCAGATTAAAAGCAGCATTTGCAATATAAGATATTTTAAAGATGGTGGATGATAAAATGTTCTCTCCAAAACAATGTACAATGTACAACAAGAATGCATATGTATAGGCACCAACATAAGAATTTGAATACATTAATTTACAAGACATGATAATACCACAATTGTATTTCTGCTCTGTATTTCTTTCATCTAATTGAATCATGTACATGTACATATTTACAAAATTTTACAAGATGCCCTGAAACACTTAAAGTATGTTCATCTTTTCATTTACATCGCGTTCCTTTAATTAAAAACAAAACATCTCTCAATCTTTGCATTCGTTCCTATTCTAAGTATTGTCTTAAAGCTTTTGAATTGTCCACTAATAAAACACTTTCCTAACCGAAAGTGTATGAGAAAGATGAAGAAAAATAAGAGAGGATTCTATAACAGGAAATATGACAACATTCTTGGAAAGAGAAGTCTTACTCTCAAAATCGTTTCCCCTCTTCGCTTTCCAGTCTAAGAAAGGAAATTTTAGATTTCAAATCTGCATGAGATTTTGAAAGAGATTTAGAAAGCAAGAAGTCTAATGTTTGAAGGCACACATGCTAAAATAACTCTACAGGCAAGCAAAAAATCTACAGATATTCGAGAGGAGGAAAAACTGATATCATAGGTTCTGTGGGAAAAAAGCTTTGATTTTACAAGTAAGGGAGACAATCATTGTTTGAATAAAACATAAGGGAGGTAGAAGAAACAGTAGCAAAGCAGTAGAGAGAAGGGGCGACAGATCAAAGCAAACAGTTTATTCATATTCAATTTTTTCCAAAGAACGTTTAGATGTCGTGGAGCTCAAAGATATATTTCTGGGATAAAATTTTTGGTGTACATATATAACATGTCCCGCATGTTAGCTTTTAAATGATGATAAGAAAGAAAGAGCGAAGAAAAGAGACGAAAGACAAGAAGAGAGGAACAAGGAAAGGTGACATCTTCAGAAAATAGATTCATCTCCTTGATCATAAGAAATAATCACATGCATGATTTAGAACAGACTGCATGTTTTTTTCATACAAAACTAAACATCATTTCTGATAATTTCTGGGAAATTAGCATGGTTTCAGAATAAAATTCCACACAAGCTACACGTATTATACTATCCATCGCTTCAAACTGAAACTGATTTGGATTATATATATTCGACAGTTATATCACGAGATGCTATAAGGGGCAAGAAAATAATCAATCTTGGCAATCTGTATTAAAAGAGCATGAGTTGAAACTCTCCGCTACACATTCTTCTCTTATTTTTGCAAGAACTACATCAACTATTTAAAACGACGTCATTCTACGGCCGTCTCAATCGATCCAGTTGAGTGATAGGCAAGGCTAAAAAACTTTAAAATCTGTAGAATTTATCTCTCAAAAGACACTTATAAGGAACACTCTCTTTTTACATGTACTTCATCACTTGGTTTATCATCACCCTCCGCGGAGAGCCAGCAGGGCATTATCAATAATAGATCGCTTTCGCAAACACGATGGAAAGCAAGATGATGGTAAAGCGAGCGAAAAAAAAATCTGCGCATGCGCGAATCAGAATTTCTGTCTTGTTGATTTTCACGACCGTACGCGGCCATGATAGCGTCAGTTCCCTAAACACGACGGAAGAGCTGTATTGCCGTAATTCTTCCATCGCCTTTGATCCGTCGTGTTTGCGAAAGCACTCTAATATGCCTCAGACGGAATCACCGCCTTCCTGGTTCTTGGGCACAACGGCCCGTATTCTTGAAATCCGCCTACCTTTAGGGATGGCTTAAACCCGGCTAAGTGCGCTGATTTCGTCCACCAATTTATGGAGCGCCAAATGTTAACTTTTTCATCCTGTATAAATGGGCATAGTTCTGCAACTTTAATAGAATACACAGAAACGTGTAACTCTGAAATAAGATTCTGGTGTAACCAACTGGTTGTGGGAGCCGAGTCTTTCCTGTATTTAGCATGTAGCGCATCAGATAAGTCAGTTCCCAACATCTTAATTTCATGAGTTTGCATCAGTTTATCAATTCCATTACACAATGACAATAATCAATGTAGAACTTTGAGGTTGACACTTGGCGTTCGCATACATCAGAAGACTATGTTACGCCGGTTTCAATTTTTGGCTGCTTTCGAGAATATGGGCAAATGTGATTAAAAATGGCCTCCCATCTCATCAGACATTAAACAATGAGAAAAAGGAGGAGGTAACTCAATGAATAAGAAATCTTTTGTGTCTGTGCCTAAGGATCGTCCAATCCAACGGTGGGAGGGACGTACGTGAAGCCTTCAAAGACGTTGTCTGCGTCCTGCACGCTTGCGCTCACGGTGTTGGGGTCGACCGACTTGCCGACAGAGTTTGGAACGGGCTCCCTGACGAACTCTGGATCGATGTTCTTCACGTCCATGCTATCGCTCTGCAAAGAAACATAATATCAGTATAATTCATACTGTAATGATACTTGTGAATAATAATAACAATGATAATGATACCGGTAGTGGGTTCTTGCATAGCGCTTACGTCTGTCAGACTGGCGCTCCGCAATTATCACCCTGGCTTTACCATGGCTGCCATTACGGCGCTCTAGCATTTCAGGAATTAATTCCTGCCAGGTACCCATTTACATCACCTGGGTCGAGTGTGGCAAATGTAGATTAATGTCTTGCCAAAGGACATTAGTGTCGCGGTGGGACTCGAACCGCGGACCTTGTGATCCACAGTCCGGTGACGTATCCACTCGACCACGACACCTCGAGCACAAAAGCAAATTAAATACTTTTGAAATACTTGATCCAACTGAGAGAATGAATATTTACAAACGATGAGTAAAGTGGGATATACTGTGTGTGATTGCATAGCATTACAAGTTGTTACGAAATGGTAAAATTTAACAGAATATACAACACAAGAAATGTACATAACCAAAGTGACAGAAGTGGGCAGAACTGTTAGAAAGGAGCGACCAGATGCGGTAAATATCTGTGGAAAGTCATACATGTAGGTTCATAATTCTTTAAGTTAGCGGTTTTGGAGATTCGTATGTCTGCAGATGAAACTATATGTTTATGTAGTTTGTAGATTTACAATGACATTGCTTGAGACAGACTAACGCTGGAATATAAATAGTCCTTGTACTTTTTTGACTGCCTTGGATTCATAATGTAATACCAGCAACTATGAATTAAATACTCTATCCAATACAACTTTTTATGAGACATTAATGAAAACAACCAGGCAAAAAAAGCTCAACCGATTTTAGCTAATTTAGATTGATCTAGTTCTTGTTTCCTGAACATCAACTCTGGAAAATAAGTAAGAATATTCTCTCTCCATCGAGCAACTATTGGATTACAGTATAAACCCCTCTCTGTCCCTCTCAGGAATGTAAAGAGACACCCCCTTACATTATTTTCTCTCTTTCTCAGATAATATCTTCTACTAAGCCTTTACCACCCCCTCCCATTCCCCCCTCTAAGCCACTCTGCCTAGCTGTACTGTATCTCTCCCTCCTCCTCCCCCCCTAAATGAGATCAAGCAGAAAATCAAGCTTACTGCTCATGATGGCGGTCTCCTGCGTTGTAAATTATCTTTTTTCATTGAAAAATATTGGTATTTGTATGTATTTTACTTAAATTTAAATGCAGAAATAAAACGAAATAAACAAACAGACAAACTCTAGGATTGTAAGGTGGAGTTATCTTCTTGGCATCAAGGTCTGACCAACTGATGGAGGAGAAGAACTCACTTTCCCCTCCCCCTCCCCCCCCCCCCCCACACAGGTAAACGACCTTTCAGTACTTACCACTCTAAGATTGAAAGGAGGGGTTATCTCCTTGGCATCCAGGCCTGACCAACTGATGGAGGAGAAGAACTCACTTTCCTCTCCCTCTCCGCCCCCTCCCTCTCCGCCCCCTCCCTCTCTGTCCCCCCTCTCTCTCCTTCCCCCCTCCCTCTCCCTCCCTCCCTTCCCCCATAAGCTAGTGCTGGTTATTTTACATGACTGCTATTAAAGAAAGCATAAATGCTTGTTGTTGTTAGTAAGCAACCAGAGGACCAATGGCTCAAGGTCCTCTCCGAGGGACCACCCCAACAGGGAAGTGACCTTTCAGTACTTACCACTCTAGGATTGAAAGGAGGGGTCATCTCTTTGACATCGAGGTCTGACCAACTGATGGAGCTGAAGAACTCACTTTCCTCTCCCTCTCCCTCCCCCCAAACTCCCCCTCCTCACCCCAACAGGGAAACAATCTTTCAGTACTTACCACTCTAGGATTGTAAGGTGGAGTTATCTTCTTGCCGTCGAGGTCTGACCAACTGATGGAGCTGAAGAACTCATGATGCTTGACGGCCTTGAAGCCCTTGTCTCCTGCACCCAGTCTCTTGGCTCTCTCCTTGTGTAACAGCTACAGGTTAAACAGAGTACAATGTGGTGTGAATATAAATCTGATTGAGAGAAAGGCTTAAAGGTACTATGTCCCTTTTGCAGCCAACCTCAAATTCTGTAGAAATTTGCAGGAATTATGAATATGTCATGTATGTCCTATCTGTGAAATCTAAACGTTAGCAGTGTCCTCATATTCAAATTATGCAAGGAAACCTGTTTACTTGCTAGACTTCACTGTCAGACACTATTGAGTGACTGACTGGCTTTTTTTCTTCTTTGGTAATAACATACATGAAAAGAGTTGTAAAGGGTACATGAGCATTTGTCTACATGTACATCAATAACCCACTTCTTGTGATGGCCAAGATTAAACTGATTGAATCTTTGCGCAGCATAAAACATATGACCATTCGGTACAATTGTCTGAAAATCAAGACTATAACTTTTGGGCTCTATAGCCCTAAAGTCGATTTGACAACTAATAGTCGTTATTTTTCCACTTGAAGACATTTTCAAGCCCCACCTTTTTTAGGGAAGTTCTAAATTAGTATTATCTTTCAAATGCAGTTGGAATTTAACTTTTTCATTTTTTTGGCCTGCAAATGGGACATAGTACTTTTAAAGGGATAGTACACTCGATATTAAAGTGACTTGGTAACATTGCCTCAGGTTCTGAAACAAAATCCTGGATTTAGCCCTTGCTGCAATGATAATTATAAATCTTTAGGTCAGTCAGAAATCTCAAGACTTTTACAAGCCAATCGCCTGTCTGATTATCAAGATATTTATGATTAGAATTCGAAATTTCAAAAAACGTTTCCCCAACGTTTTTTTTATAACACTACAGTCTATTGAGGAAAATGAGTATGATAAAACTGGTCACTCAAAGATTTTAACTTTTTTGAAGCACTTCATGATCATTTTGAAGCATAATTTTTTCTAATATGGGCCACTGGGCCACTGGGCCACTCTATTTCAAACAAAGCAGAATGAAGCAGACATGAACGGTCTTGGCTTACCCCTTCGAGGAGACCCTTGGCACTTGGTGAGAAAACAGAGCTCCTCATTCGGAGTGGCTTGTTGAGAATGTTATCATACATCTCAGCTGTGTCTCTGCTGTAGAATGGAGGCTGTAGGAAGAGAAATAGGAGAACCAGTCTCAGTGGTTTATTAAGAATGTTAACATTCATGTACAAGTCAATCTCGACTGTGTCTCTGTAGTAGGGAGGGGGGGGGGGGGGGGGATGTCACCATTCTAGCTTGCGTTGAACTGAGAATGATTCAATTATAATTAAAATCATGAAGCAGCATCTAATATTGGAAACTCAGAGTAAATTTACATTCATCTTTTCACAGCTGATAATAAGTGACATTCCCCCTTTTTCATCACATATTACACATTCTAAATCTCCCATATCTATCTATCTATCCCTCCTCCCCCCTCCTCCCCCCTCCCCCTCCCCTCCCCCCTCCTCCCTCCTCCTCCTCCTCCTTCTTCTTTTACTTCCTTTTTTCCTCCTCCTGTCGTCACAATATTTGCCATGATCTCTTCCCTCATCTCCAAAGTCTCTCTCTCTCTCCCCCCCCCCCCCCCCCCCCCCCCCCCCCCCCCCCCCCCCCGGTTCTACCTCTCCCCCCTCTCTCTCTCTCTTTCTCTGTCTGTCTCTCCCTCTCTCTTTTGGTAGATACTTACCAATCCTGACATCATCTCAAAGAGAACAGCTCCAAGACACCACCAATCCACACTTCGGTCATACTCCTGCTTTCTTAATACTTCTGGTGCCAGATACTGCATAAAAAAACACAGCCATAATTACGCAATCAACCAATGAAATACCGGTACATACAATATAAGTAATTCAATAGAAGTGTTGGGCTTCTCAATGATTCAGCTTTTCAAGGGTTTTCTCTCTAACTCCTATTAAATATAGAGATGCGTACAATTCCCCCCCCCCCCCCAAAAAAAAAAAAAAAAAAAATGTGCTCTCACCCCCACCCCCTCCCGCTTATTCAGCGGCTAGCCAAGTCAAAAACTAATAAAAACCTCTCTCCGAGCAGTTTCACAAAGTTGACAGCCCTGGATTACCGACCCTTGTCCCTTTTTTTTTTGCGCGTTCCTGACAAACCCGCTTATGATATATTACAAAGTCTCTGGGGAATTACTTACCTCTGGTGTACCACAGAAGGTTGAGGTGGTTTTCTTGGCTGCGATCCCCTCCTTGCACAAACCAAAGTCTGTCAGTCTAACATGGCCATCGTGATCCAAGAGAATGTTCTCAGGTTTCAAATCTCTGAAAGCAATCAAATCATGGTTGTAGAGTTTGTTATTATATCAAAGAATGGTATTTTTCTTTTCAATTGAAAGTAATTACAACTAATTCTCAGGGGCTTTTGAATGGGGAAGGGAGGGAAGGGGGAAATCCCCATTCTCTCTCTAAAAAAAGTTTTGTAATACTTACATACAACAAAATTATATGCTTAGCTCCCCCTCCCCCAAAGTAAAGTTTGTTATCATAGCAAAGGATTTTCTTTAAATTGAAAGTAATTATAACTAATTCTCAGGGTCTTTTGAAGGGGGATGGGAAGGAAAGGGGAAAATCCCCATTCTTTAAATTTAAATTACAAAATGATAACAAAATTGAATGCTCAGCTCCCCTCCCCCCCCCCCCCCCCCCCCCCCTCCGCACACAGCCTGCTTCTAATTCCATACAAGCCCCAATTTACATATATATACATGTATGCAGTATTTTTTGTCTCTCCTAATTGTAGTAGAGATGTGAGTTGGGCAAACAGTAGGTACAGACAGCGTGTTGCTTTCTGACACCGCCTGCAAACCAAATCCATGGGCTTCCCATTTCGTCTGATTTTGCCATTTCTTTTTGCCACTTTCCCATTCAAGTACGATTGATATGTGTCTTATGTTGCTGAACAAGTATATGGTTTAGGTTAAAAACCCTGCTGACTACTGACTCTCAAAGGCTATGTAGAGCAGGAACAATCCAATTCCCATAGGCAATGCAATACTAAGGACGTCATCCACTACCACACCTTCTCAATCATACAACACTCACCTGTAGATGATATCCAAGGAATGCAGGTACCCGATGGCGCTGGCGATCTCCGCTGCGTAGAACTTGGCCCTGACCTCTGGGAAGGACTTCTCCCTCTGCAGATGAAAGAAGAGCTCCCCGCCATTGACGTAATCCAGGACAAAGTAAAGTTTGTCGGCCGTCTGGAAGGAGTAGTGGAGACTGACCAGGAAAGGATGCTTGAGGTTCTTCAGGAGGACGCTCCTCTCGGCCATGATGTGTTTCGCCTGGTGTGGAGAATCGGTGGAATAGAGATAAATGGCCGTTAGGAAATTTCCTTTAAAATAGCAAAAAGTGAGCCTTCCCTCTATACATGTATCTGGTTGAATCTGAATCATATGTGACCCGCTACGGCAAAACCCGACGCTTCTCGGCAAATCCCATTGTGCTGTAGGCCCGTTTGAACATGAAATTTCGAATTTAGGGATCAACTGAGATTTTTGCATGATCAGAAAGTCTATTTTTTATAAATTGATTTAGAGAAAAAATGAACTCAAAAAACGATCTAGAAGTATTTTTAATTATATTTTGTATCTAATCATGTGCTCCATTGTCCAGTGAAATTAGTTGAAACAATGCGGTCAAAAGAAGGGAAAGTTCGCGATTCATCGCTTGTTGTTTTCCCTCTCAGTTGACCACGTTTGAGTCGATCCCTGACGTATTTGGTACGAAAATAACGAGTAAGGATCGGTTATTCCAAATATGGTTATATTGGGCGGTCCTAAATAAAATTGCCCAATGAAAAATGCCATGAAAGATGACATCATTTCGATGAGCTGTCAAGCAGGCCGTAAACAAATGCCTGTTGCCAGCCACGTGATCCAAATCCAGACACTTGATTCGCCAATATTCGCACATGACGTCATTGCCTTGTTGTTGTGATTGCTCAGCGGTCAAATTCTCGCATCGAAACACCAGCTTTTTTCTTCGAAAACTTGTTCAGAAGTTTGTTTTTAATGAGCTAGAGTTTCATATATCAAGTAAAATACGTGTATTCATCGAGTGGCTAGAACAATGTCGAGGAAAAAGAGGAATTTAACGGATAAAACCGTCGCTTCTTTGTTGAATGATGCATCGGCGTGCGGTATGCCGTGCATGGCTTGACCGAACACCTGGCTGACTACTTCGCGAACCCGACCGGGCCGAGCCCCCGGCCGCTGGCGAGAGAGGAACTCCTTCGTCTCCTAGCTCCGACTCTGATTCTGGTAGGTTTATTAATATTATCATTATTAAAAAGGTATTCAAGTTACTTAGTTAGGTCTACGCCCATATTATTTATTAAAGACTTGTTTCGCCAAAATGTTCGAGCAACAAAAGCTAGATTAGACATTTTAAGTGCACTATTATTTAAATTAAAATTTATTATTAAATTAGATTATGATTTATGAAGCATCTCATACCTATAGTATACAAAAATCTCTGCGGAGTCTAGACTACTTGTTGATATTAGTTTTTGAATCTCTATTTTATAATTATACTTAACAGAGTCTGATGAGTTCGAGGAGGCAGGTCCATGACCAGCAGAGCCATGTGAAAGCGGCGATGAAAGCGATTGCGTCGATGAGGCAGATGCATGCAGAGGAGCCTATGGATTTGTCAAGTGACAATGAAAGCGTCATACTGGGACCGGGTCCTGTCATTGATGACGAGGAGGAGGCGGCAGCAGCTACAAATCTGGCCCAACAAATACATGTAGATCTTGATCTGGAACCGCTGAAGGACCGCGTGAATAAATGCAACTGCCGTATCTTCAATCGAAGACGCTGTATCAAACAATTCTCTGTAGCCGAACAAGAGTCCATAAGGTATAATTGGATCTGTCACTATTTACTTGTATTTCTTTATAATAATGTCTAAGGACTGGATGTTTATGTACAAGCTGCAGTTTAATGCAAAATATACTTACATTTATTCTAAGCTAATTATATTTTCTCCTATTTTGCAGCATTAATCAGTAGACCCTAACGTATGCTTTAAAAAAAATACTTCACCACTAAACTGTACCAAGCATAATAAATATTATAATTGAGATCCTTAGGAAAACGTTGCAAAGCTCTGTCCAAATTTCAAGTGTTTTAATGAAATGAAATTTGCTACAATACATTTACTCTTTTCTTCTTCCAAGTCAACCAACTTTTACTTTATTGTGAGCTGGTGTTTTCCATTTGAGAATGATCTACTATTGTAGTGTAACAAAAAATATTTACTTTGTAAAGAAAAATAGTAGATGCGAAAATTTGACTAATCAGGAGATTTTTGTTTCGTTTTGCTTTTTCCCTCATGTCTGCAGGTCAATGTTCCTGAAGAACAGAAGACAGAGGCACTCAGGAGGCAGGAGGAGCATCTTCTACAGGACAGCCTGTCAAGCCTTACAGGCAGTCGCGATAGAGCTCTCCATCAAGAAGCTAGGGAAGAAGACTGCGAACTCCAAGCCTGTAGTTTTTCATTACAGATTCGACTTTGCACAGCAAGTGCATTATCCAGTTGACCCCCAACAACCTGGCCCTTCGTATTTCCGTACACAAAGAAAGTGCCACATCTTTGGCATGTCTTATCCTATGTACATACTATTGATCTCTTCGGCTGTGAATTTTGTATGAAACAAGATAACTCAAGAGATTCGAAACTGTTCATCATTAATTCTTGGGCACTAATGCATAATAGTTTATGATTAGTGTAGTCACTAGTCAGATTGCATTTGTTATGGGATTCGTTATTGTTTTTTCTTTACTTTGATAATGAAAGAATATATTTTATATCTGATACTGATTGACTGAAATTAATATTTTTGCATTATTAATCTCTATCTCAAGAAGACAACAGCTCTGTCAAATGGTCTCAACTGTTACTTTATTGTACATTCCTAAATGAACCAGGATATTTTTACAATACATGTATTATAGGTTATCTGTTGTCGAGTGACTTACACGATATCTTTTTTTTTCTCAAATAGTCTTGATTAAGACTAATGCTTTATATCATAGCCTTTATTAAATATGACAAAATATCAATCATTTTGAACTCGCTTTATTTGTTCCAGTAATTATCATTTGAAAAATAGATTCTGACGGGTTTCAAGTTCAACGCAATTCGTTATTTCACTTTATTGCAATCTTATTTTTAATATATTTTTTTAAAATCATTTTTATTACATCTGGTTTTGTAATAGGCCTATTATTAAGCATAAATTTTAAGAAAATGCACTATTACATTTTATTATTGCAACATTGATGTAACCTGCTACTATTTTGTGTACAAGAACAAATTCTGTACTGATGAAACATAATAAACCGTGGAATCGTTTTCCCATCAACTTTGCCTAGGATAACAAAAACTTTGAAATTCTTTTGTTTTCTATTGTTTTTAAAAATTATCATAACTTTATTAATATTTTTCCAAATCTAATGGTTTTAACAGAAATGTAAGTTGGGTATGTGTCTAGTATGCCTGTAAAATAACAAGACTTTAGCTTGTTTGGTTGATGCCGTTGCTATGAAGTGAATGTATGCATGTTTTTTGTGTGAAAATTGAACCAAATTCTTAACTTTAAACCTCAATATCTCATAATCAACTTCCGGTGATTGAAATCACAAAAATCACAATAACTTTGTCAAATTTCAATCAATTTTTTTAAATGAGGTATCATCTTAAAGGTCATACTTTACTCTTTCCAATGATACCAAGAACTCAATTTTTATTTTTACCATGAAGTGTTGGGTTTTGCCATAGCAGGTCACATATATTTTGCTTTGATTTTTTGTCCTCTATTATTATCAGAAATTCCGCATAATTCAGTTTGCAGATTCAATTAATATGAGGTATTGAACTTTCAGCATTAGTTTTGCTTTGGAATGTCTTTCTCTACTATTATCAGAACAACGCATTACATGTATCTTTGAATAAAAACTGAAAGTACATCTTTTCAATTAACTGTAAATCTAAGCATATCAGGAGCTCTTATATAGTGCAGTAGAATATATACTTAGTGCTGGATAGTTTCTGCGCTCTATAAATGTACAGTCAAACCTGCTTTAGTGACCACCTGTCTACAACGACCACATTTTTTGTTTCCCTTGAAAATGGTTTCTCATTGAAACATGCACTAAAGGAATCTGTCTACAAAGACCACTTTTTGTGTTTCCCTTGGGCGGTTGCTGTAGACAGGTTTGACTGTATTATTATTATTATTATTTTTATTATTATCATCCTCCTACCTCGTTCCTCTTGACGATGGCTGCCTTCTGTAGCACTTTGACTGCATACACCTTGCCATCGATCTTGTGTTTGGCCAACAGGACCTTGCCAAAGCTGCCCTTGCCAATCACCTTCAGGAAATCAAAGTCACTTGGTCTTGCTCTGTAGATTAGAGAAAAAACAAGGAATGGAAATAGAAGAATTAAAGGGGGTGAAGCATGGCAAATGCTGGTTAACGCCATATACGACTTCTTTTGGACAACAGCATGTAAACGAATGGACTTAATCAACGGTCAGCGTGTGCTAGCGTTCGTGAAACGGACCGAAATTCTCCTCACGCCTCGTCCGTAGTCGTATTATACCCGATTGGCCCTGAGTCAGGCCACAGGAAAGACACATAGTCTCATCATGCTACATCTCCTTTAAATGCAACAAAATTACGGTTAATAGTATTTTTATCATAATTTAGAACCTAAATAAAGAATATGAAATTTGTCAAGATTTCCTATCTAATATAAATGAGATTTCTTTGTAAATTAGATCGTAGGACGATCCTATAGACAGGCTGTTGTCACAAACGCCACATTAAATTTAATGCTGCATTTAAGTACTAAATTGTCTGGCTCTTCCATTAAGCACTTGACAATAAACAAATGAATACTCTTGCTGGTCCAAAACCTTACATATGGTAGTTACAATTTACAGTTATAGGAGGTGTTCTCCGTTTCTTCCATCAAAGGTCACCCTATTCACCTGGATATCAACCAGCTAGACAGCCAATGGTTTGGAAATGCTATGGTTAACAACTGTATTATTCCTACCCGTCGTCACTTTGATGTTTCTTAAAGATAAACTCCAGTACTGGTAAAAAAAAAAAAAATTCTCACAGAATCAAACGAAACTTACACTGAATGTTCAAGATTACAAATAAATGATATGTGCCAAACAATTTTGGAAGAAAATGTATACTGGCTGAGTAATGAGCATAGAAAGACAAGGAAATCAAGATAGTACTAGCCCCGACACCATGTGTGTAGTCTCATATATAGCTTTCTATGTGAGTGCTTGTTACTTTACCAAGACTCGGTCAAATTTATTATGATTTTGATAACTCCAGAACCTTGCAGTGCACACCAATACTTACATGCTACATGATCAACTGTTTCTGATCCTTTCCACACCTTTTCTTTCACAATGCAATCGCATTACCAGTACTAAAGTTTATCTTTAATTGTGACTCAAGATTGAAAGGTGGACTGGTTGAATAAGGGCCTTTGTTGAATATTTTTTTAGATGTAAGCTTTAGTATGTCACATTCCCAAGGAACATATACAAATTGGAACAAATCCATTTTTCACATACTTAAAAAATTATAAAAACTTTGTAAGGGTGTGAACAATTTAGTTGCAAACGGTATGTACACTTACGCCTCAGTCACACATTTGCGTATTTGGCTTGCGTATTGCTGCGTATTTATGGCAAGCCGTTTTAACATTTATTCCTATTTCTTGATATTAAGAAATCATTTTCTGTTGTAAAGCAATGGTAATTCTTGAAATAGGAATAAATGTTAAAATGGCTTGCCATAAATACGCAGCAACATGCTGGCCAAATACGCATCGGGGTGACTGAGGCATTTACTCAGTCATCTAATTTTGCTGAGCTCTAATACATTGCAGCTCGGAGATCGATTGATTTAACCATTCTTTACAATGTGCTTAAGTATATTCTGCTTAAGCAAAAACATTTGTATCTTAACCAGGCTTTTAACAAGTTTTTCCTTTGAGTGATCTTTTTAGAAGGACTACTTTATCGAAAAAAACAACGGTCAAATTTGTATTCTTCAACCTGGTGATAGGAAGAGGAAAAATGCCCCCAATTCACACCCCCCAAAATGATTGTCCCTATAAACACAACCTGAAGAAAGCAAGGTACATGTAATCATGCATGCATTTCTGGGATTAAAGTACAGGCACACTATTGCATGTGCTCCAAGCAATTTGGGGACTATTACGACTTGCTTTTATGGGAATCTGCCAGACCCGCGCCATTCTTGCATGATTTAATAGCCCTGTATCAGGTGCTTATAGACTTTTATTTCTCACCGACGTGTTATAAAATTTAATAACATGCGCCCTGACCTGAATGCACATGACTTGCTCGAACTCTTTACAGAGAACACCTTCTCCAAGTATTGAATAATTTAATCTAAATAGAGATAAAGGCTTATCATAAACAAATACTTGTTAGTATGAACCCTAATGGATTCTTGCTTTATGCTGTCAATTGCTTGTCTTTTTGTGCCAATGCGCATACGGATTAACAGGCACTTGGCATGGAACTGGCTGTCAACTTTACTTATATATAAAAAAGAGAGACTTTGCCACCTGTTGCAAATAAGGTAAAGATAATAATGAACTTTTTAAGAAAAAAAGAGAGAAATGTTCAACAAACAAATAAAACAAAAAACACCAGGGTAGCAACTCCACGTAACTCTCTTCATCTATAGCTACATGAATAAAATAGCCCAGTCCAAATTTTGTGCGACCAAAAAAGGAACTATAATGGCATAGTAGGACGTATAGTTTATTTACAAGGAGGTATTTTTTGTTGTTATTTTGGTTTTATTGGCGTTGCCTTCTTTTTGAGAATATTTTTCTCTTCAAGTACGTTTTAACCTTAGTTTTCTATTGAATTTGTGATCAAATCAACATCTTAGGGCAGTTGTTTGACGGGCGGTAGGTTAAAAAAATATTTAAAAAAATAAAAAATAAAAAAAATGTACTTCCGTAATTCTGAGAAAAAAAAACAGAATAATTTCGGGAAAAACGTAATAGCGGTAATAATAATAATAAAAAAATTACTTATAAAGCGCTTACCACCAAAGTATCTAAGCGCTATAACAAACAAAATAGACTGATAAACAATTACATATTAAACAAAACAAAAAAAGTGTAAATAAACCTACAACTTATAATACATATGAAATACACATCAATGTGAACAGAGTTAGTTAATCATCAAAAGCAATGGTTGGCAGCTCTGTGTGTAACTATTACTAAAGGTGTTTTCTTCGCAGAAAATGATGGTTGGACAGTTCTACTTACGATGGATTAGCCGATGGTCCCAGGTTGATGGTGTTCGGGTCGTTGGGGTCACTGAAGAAGTCTGTGTTGTTCTCGTCCGCCACGCTGTTATCAGGGTTATTCCTCGGATTATCGAGAGACAAGAAGTTCTGAACTTCGCCACTGAAAAATAGAAAGGGATAACAAAAAATAGAGAATAATTTCACAGAAGAATGAGGTGCACACCGTCTTATTTCTTGTTTGACCTCATGTATGTTTGATCTCACTTTTATTTTTATTATTATATATGCATGATTTATTGAATAAAGAACAGATTTATAAGTTGTGTGTTTATTATAAAGTTTGGTAAATAATTTTTTAGTCAGACTAGGTATGCTCAGAGATACCAGTATTAAGCGCCTAATAAGTATTGTGTATTATTATTATTATTAAGAATAATTTCATTGAAGAAGTTTGTTTAGTTCTCGTCCATCACGCTGTTATCAGGGTTATTCCTCGGATTATCGAGAGGTCTTCTTTCCAAAATATCCCGCTATTTGGAAATAGCGGGCTAATTTGCGCCCATCCGAGATAGTTAGTGATGAGCGTATCATATCAGTCTCGTTATGACGCAATTTCAAGCTTCGGAATAATATCCAGAGTCTGAAAGTAGCGGATTGTTTGGCAAACTCGAGCTTATGAAGACAAAACTTCATGAGAAAGGGGAAAATCCCTTTTGCTGAAAGAATCCATGTATTCGGCAAAAGTAGGTAATGTTTTTCTTAACGAGCAGTTATATTACCTCTGAGAAATTTGCCTTGGATCTGATTTCTTTGTCTACAAGTAATCAGGGAAAACCCAAAGGTGTCTAGCAACCCGATGACTACTGAATTCTCTAGTTCCTATAGGCTTAATACTGGGACCACCTGGTTGCAGTAGGAAATGGGTTAAATAGATGAGGTCATGATGGGCTACTTTTTCATTAGCTCTAGCTTAGGGGTTTAAGACTCAATTCCAAAAATAAAGGAGAGGATCTACATGTAGAAAGGTCAGCAGAATTACAGAGATAATATGGTTATATTGACATTTACTTGTAGCAAAACAAACAAAAACAGAAGAAAAGAAACAAGCACGCAAAACGATGAAGAAGAAATGACGAAGGAAGGTCCTAGCAATGACGGTGCTAGTTGACTCGTTAATTCAATAGAATTAGAGAAATGAAACAAACAAGTCACTGAAAGTCTGAGAAAAATATGATGAATACACACTGAGAGTTTGGAATATTGTTTTAAGTTTTGAAGATCAATATATTTAAAAAATTGGCAACTTGGAAACCTGCCTTTGTGAAAATATTTAAAACCAAGACAAATATCTTAAATATTGACTTTGGATATCAAAGAGCGAGTATACCTATGAAAACATTGTTCAAAATATTTTAGGGAAAAGAAATTATTCTTTGAGAAGACAAAGTTTGGGGGGAAAATGATATTATGAAATCCTCATCATAACACACAAACTGGAGAATAGCAACAGACAGACCCAGTAATAAGCAGGCATGCATATTTTGATCTTTCCGAAGACCTTAGGCAGCACACATGTGGCTATTTGAAAGAAGGCTATTATGGTGAAATTATAAAATCCCATCCACCATCGTGTGCAAAATGGATGTCGCATAAAAAAGATGATCTGATTTGCACAGAAACATGTGAGCCTCCATAACAGCCATTTAATTGTAGAAGTTATCGATTTCTCCTTCATTTTCCTCGGCAAATTAAGTCTATTTCTGGCAAACATCTACCAGGATACTTGACAGATCATTAAAACACAAGGCTTGATTTCCACTTATGAACGTCCAAGCACAAACACTAAGCTGCGACATAGAGAAGGAAAGAAAACAAAATATCAATTCCTTGTCTTTTTTGTTTGGTATTCCTTCGCTACTCCAAGTAAAGGAGATTCAGTTATCTAACGCAAAGAAAACATGGCGATGTGAAAAATTATGTGGTGTTTGTTACATATTCAAGTTTCATAAGGCAGTCTGATAAAAGGCAATATCTGAGACTTATTGCAGTCTGGGGTCTATAAAGTTAAATAAAAGAGAAGGGGCTTCTTGCATGAAACATGATAGTTCAAAGGTCAATTTGAATTTAACCCATTGAGTAATGAATCCTCTTATTCCCCTAGGCTAATATAGTATCCACCTAAAAGACAGGTTAAAGATAAACTTGAGTTGAAGTTGAGATCTGGTAAAAAAAAAGAACATAAATTCTCACAGAATCAAACAAAACTTACAATGAATGTTCAAGATTGCAAATAAATGTCATTTGCCAAACACTTTTGGTAGAAAATGTATATTGGCTGAGTAATGAGCATAGAAAGATAAGGGAATCAAGGTACATGTAAGTAGCCCGACACCATTTGTGTAGTCCCATATACATCTTCCTGTGTACAGTGCTTGTTACTTTACCAAGACTGGGCCAAATTTATTATGATTTTGATGACTCCCGATTCCCGAACCTTGCAGTACACACTAATATGTACATGCTACATGATCAACTTTCTCTCTTCCATTCCACACCTTATCTTTCACAATGCATTCGCATGACTAGACCAGAACTCAACTATTTCTTTAACCAACAGATTCAAATCGTATGCATACTTTTTAAACAAAGGTCATTCTTGGCGACCTAAAAGCTTGCCCGAGGCAGTACTATATGCAGACTGGATTGGAGTTCATTCGTTAATAACGGGTTAATGGAATAACTCGTCAGAAGGTCCCGAGGGGAGGAGGATCCATAAATTTGAATATGTTGGTAAACCAAAAAATCTATTTCCAGAGGCATAGAGTTCATCCAAAGGATGAGGGTGACCTTACCAGACCTTAAAGGGATTGGGTATCTCTGTCTCGGATTCTGAAATAAAATCCTGGGTTTAGCTCATGCTGCAATCATAATTATAAACCTTTAGGTCAGTCAGGAATTCCATGACTTTTACAAGCCCATCACCTGTCTGATTATTAAGATATTTATGATTAGAAATCAAAATTTCAAAAACCGTTTTTTATAACACTACAGCCTACTGGGAAAAAAAGTATGGTAAAACCTGTCGCTCCAAGATTTTTACGCTTTTGAGGCACTTCATGATCATTTTGATGTACAGTTTTGTTAGGGCTTCAATATTACACCATATCGCAGACACTGATAACACATTGGGCCATTCATCTCAGTTTTGTAAAACTACCATGGAAACATTGTTAAACAATGCCTTTAATTATGCAAAGTCAAAAGTTATGTAATAATTTCCACTCTGCATGCATGTGCATTGAAACAAATGCGGTATACAGTGTATACTCTGCACAAAAACTGAGTATTGCCATGGAAGGTTTAACAGCATTTTTCTTACTACATCAATTACTAACCCCTACCACAAGGGGGGGGGGGGGGGGGGGGGGGAGGGGGGGACAGATTGTAAGAATCAGATTATTCAATTCCTTCCTCGAATGACTCAGGATGCAGGATGGTTTCACTTTGTATGATGTTATGAACAAATGAACAATTTCCTTTCATGTACTATTGTATACCTGCATTAGTATCATTTCTTTTTCTATGAAAGGATAGTCAAAATAGGGTGGTCAAAGGAATTTCCCCCTTTTTTGTCCAGTACCAGCACCCTTGCTTAATACAGACATGTTTGATTGACCAAGAAATTGTTAATACAAAATAATAATAAAACAAGGGAAACGCTTTCGGCAGTCTCGCCTGCATTACGCGATTCGATATGATGAAAAATTGAGGGTGGAACATTATTTATAGGCAGGGTGGCCCATTAGCAGGCCCCCCAAAATGAAATCCTCTGAATATAATCAGCAAAATTTTGAAGTGCATATTAAGAATCATGGACAAATAAAAAAAATTGATTCATTTATCCTCATATTAAATTGTGAGAACATAATCCAAGTTTGTTGACCTAAAATGACCTTTGACCTTAACTTAGTGACCTTTGACCTTAACTTAGTGACCTGAATTCTGCTCACATGATTGGGGATACTTGATAACCCTATAGTCCAAGTTTCATTGACTAAGGACTTATACTTTCAAAATTATATCAAAAATTCAAAAACTTAACCTTAGGTTAAGTTTTTGATGTTGACGCCGCCGCCGCCGCCGCCGTCACCGGAAAAGCGGCGCCTATGTCTCGCTTTTTTGCTACGCAGGCGAGACAAAAAACCTTACTCCCACATTTTGAACTGAGTAGAAACGAGTTCGGAAGTATTAACATTAATATAGCCAGCATCTTTTTAACTGCAGGCATATCTAATAGTACTTCATTTAATGATTCTGATGGAGGAAAAAAAAACCTTGCTTGATACCACAATTTCCACCCACGCCATAATCAGAGAGAAAATATCAGAGAAATCTGATTTCGGAGATAGCGGGCTAATTTGCGCCCGTCCAAGCTTCGGGATAATATCCTGCGTCTGAAAATAGCGGGTTACTTGGCAAACCTGAGCTGATGAAGTCTGGCCTATAGTGGACTATTTCGCCCTTGAAACTAAAGATATTAATCACTTCTACTATTCCAAACCAACCTAAGGCTCATTCTCGAAATAGTAATGTCTTTTACCAATGCTTGTGAAGACGCACTTGCACTAAAATATGCTTTGTAACTGAAGATCATCCCTAGAGGGAACTGGATTGCTTGACTCAAGCCTACGGAGACGAGGAAATGAAAACTCAAAGATTATGTTTTTGTTTAATTTAAAAAGGGAGTTCTGACTTGCATAATTTCACAAGTTTGTGCTTAATTGTTCTGCCTAATGGAAATTACCCTATATACTATGTGTTACTTATTAACAGTGAACATGTATTGTGTTCCAGTAAACTATTTACAAAAAAAATGTGAGTTTTAGAATATAAAGTCAAGCTTAAAAAACACTAAGCAAGCAATTTTAATACGGGCTAATGGGTAATAAGGAGTATGAAGAAAACAAAGGATAGCATCATGGTGAAAGAGAGATAGCATACACCCCTGCAAAACAGTACACAAGTTGGACTCGGTTCCATACAGGCCATATTGTATGAAAACGTGCAAAGGTACGTTGAGTGGTTTCCTTACAAGTAGCTCCAACGTGAAAATCGTGAGTGGGCTTGAACTTGCAAAATCTCTTTACAGACTGCAGTAATATTTGAAGCTC